GGTGGAGACGTTAACGGGACGGGTGGATGTTTGTCAGGATGGATCCCCGTCTGGCCCAGACTCTGCTGGAGAGAACCAGGGAGTCCAGTTGGACCTCAGCCGGACCGAGCCGAGACCAGGACGCTCTCAGGTAGGACCACACACCTGAAAAACTACAACCTGCAGTGTGACTGTGGGTACAACTACTGCCAACAGTGTTTGGAGACTCAAACTGTCCTTTCTCTGCCTCTTCCTTATATGGCATCCTTCCAGGGACAAGACGCCCAAATCACAAGGAATGAAATAAACGTTTCATGATCAAATTGAATGTTCTGACATAGTCTAACAATCAGAAATTAGCAACAATAATTTGGTTCAATGAGCCTAGGAAAAAAAAATGTTTCTTTTTTTCTAAAAAGTTAATATTTAAAAAAGTAAATATGTAGCCCAACCCTAAACCTAAACCCAAACACAACATTTAATTAACTCAGAGCTAAATCTCTAGCTGAAGCTGTACATTTAGTTAGGAAACATTTAGTTTGTTCACAAATATTTAGTTTGCCAACTCAATGTGTAACTAGCACCAAACTAAACATTTAGCTCTTAGCTAGCTGCATCTTTAGTTAGCAATGCGCTATCAAACCTTCTATTGTTCACTTTAAATCCTTAACATTTCTGGAATGTTTTTCAAAAAAAAAGGATTAAAATCAAGAACGTAAAACGATTTTTTCTTCCATTTCTGTAAGGTTTATTTATGAAATGTTGGAAAACAAATTTCTGTGATTTTCCTTGCAGGCGGATGGTTGCTAAGATACTGTCTGGTAACGGCCCGAACGACGCCCAGCTGATGATGTCATCAGGCCGCAGAGCGAAGCGGGACCTGTCCGCCGGGGCCGAACCCGTCAGCGCCACGCACAGACGGAGCCGCCGCTCCCTGGACGGCCAGTCGCCCAGCAACGAGCCGCCCCTCCTCAGAGTGAAGAGGCTGGACGACGAAGAGGAAGAGGAGGAAGAGCTCCGCCCACGAGGACCTGGGCTGCAAAGGATGAAACGCATCGATGCCATGGCAACCGCTGACCTACAGGAAGTCAACCACGGGAGTCGGAGGCGCCGCAGGAGGGCTGTGCTGACCTACGACCCCCAGATGTTGATGGATCAGATTCTGGATTACCTGAGGAAGTGAGAGGAGGAAGAGGACGGGGAGGAAGACAGTTCTGGTCGTGTCTCACATTTTTATTGTTCATGTCATTTCTTTGGTTTTGCTGCTTGTGTAAATTTGAGTGGATCAAATGTTTGTTGTATAAATGAGGAAGAATTTTCAAGAAGAAGCAAACTTCTGATCAAACATGTCTCAACACTACATTACCCATGAGCCTCGGCTGGTATGCAGCGATGATGTGTTCCATTGGAGTTTCTGGGCGTAAAAGCAACGAGAGCGCCCCCTGTGGTCGGATTTGTGACGCTGGGAAGGCCTGAGTTCAGGATCCAATAACAGCTGGTTGATAAATGAATCGTTCTGCTTTAAGTTGTTAACGTCACAGAGACCCAAACGTCATCATTTCCGTTTGAAAACACAGAATGCTAACAGTAGCTAGCATCGTCACAGCTCTGAGTCAGACCAAACCAGCATTAAAGCTGACCTCTGACCTTCAGACACAAAGTTCTCATTGGCTGACTTCTTGCAGCAAGGCTTGCTGGGAGTCGGAGTTGACAGGTTTCTGTCCCCAATGGACATGTGATGAACAGTGTTTGTGACCGTGGCAACAGCTTCTGAGCTCTGTGATTGGTTCCTAGTTGTTGATGTTCTCGTACCTTCAGCTTGTTGCTGTGCTGACTCGCCCGTCTGTGGAGAAACTTTGATTTGTGTCACAATAAGAAATAAAGTTGTTAAATTCACTCGTCTCAGTGTCTGCTGAAAAACTCACCAAGGTCACAGAGGTCACCAGCGTCGGGTGACCTCTGTGACCTGGTGGAAAGACCAAACCACAGAGCATGCAGTCACTAGTTGCTATGGTGATTCCCTCCTTTTCTAGGGAACCAGGCCACAGGATCACAGACCAGCCCCCATGTGAAAGTATGAGTCCACCAAAGTGGGCGGAGTCTAGAGTCACTTAGGGGCGTGGCCAAACGTGGATACCAGGGCAGGGGGTGAGTGGGTCAGCAGGAAAGAAGCTCTGCTGCCATCTTCTCCACTTTATCACAATAATCGGAGACTTTTCAGACCCAGAAAATAGTTTTTTTTAATCGATAAACCAACTTTTCTGTTGTTGGAGACATTAATGGCCACCAGGGGGGGCCAGAGCTGGACCAGACCTGAGGAATGTAAAGTTAAAGGGGGCGCTCCACTATTTATTTATTTAGTTTTTGTTCATAGGAATTAAAACATTGGGCCCTGCCAATTCCAAAAGAATCATTTTGTGTTTTGGAAGATTGTTTTCAGCAGTAAAAATGAAATGTTCCCCTTCCCAGACCAAAAACACATATTTGCCCTGAAGCCCCTGGATCTGCAGGAATCGGTTCCTTCCTGCTTGGAGCTGCAGGTGTTCAGCAGCAGTCAGTGGAAACAAGAACCACTGAGGCTGTTACTGCGCTGCTAAGAAAAATGATAAAGTAGGTGTTAAAACATCAAAAAGAGAGAAAAAGCTAAACGAATCAATTTATAAGCCAGTTTTTCTCCGAGAGGCTAAGCTAGCATTTAGCATAGCTAGCTTAGCCTCCTTTACACTAACATTTAATGAATTAAGGGAAAACATCACCAACATATTGACATATTTCACTGGACCTTTTCCCACTTAACAGGCGAGTCGGTCAGCAGCAGCTCTAGTCCCTCCTGACCCGTCCTTCCTCTGCTGAGGGGAGTTAAAGCTGCAGCAACTTTTATATACAAAATATATTTTATTTTACATATTTGTTAAAACTGTCATTATGTTGTGACAGTTTGATATGATAAATAATCTGTCAAAATTTTATTTCCTCTGCTTTCTCCCAGAACTATCAAGAAACAACCAATCAGAGACAGGAAAGTTTTAGTGCTGTCAATCACTATCTCATGTGGCTGCTCATCCCTTATGCTGCAGCTGGCATAGCCTGTTGTGAATCCTCAGTCTGGTTAGTCTGCAGTGTGTTTTGTCAGCCATCGCCTCCCCTTTAAGTCGCACACAGAGCTCTGAGACAAGTGCAGTGGTTTCCTCTGACTGAGAAGGACATCGCTGCAGCAACAGGAAGGGCGGGGCGGGCCGCTGTCAGTCTCAGACCTTATATGGAAACAGGACCATTGCACTCCGGAAGTGAAGGGGCGCTATATTATCCATGTTTTTATTTTCTTTGTGATATATTTTCAGCTTTAGGAAGGATTTTCACTCTCAGTTTGTGTTTGATCTTCTCTCTTTTATTTACAGTTTTAACAGATTCTGTCACTTCCTGTGTTCTTCTAAATCTGCTCCTCATCTTTTCGGGCCTGATGCTGCCTCTAGTGGCGTGGGGTGGTAACACGACTAATATCACTACATTACTAAATCAGAATAGTCTTTATTATTTACCATTAATTTCAGCATTACTGGAACCATAAAAGATCAATTATATTATTAAACACCATATTTTTTCATTGTGATTGAAGCTAAAAAAAGACAATTTTACATGATTTCACATAATAATTCTCATAACAAACAGTAATAAAACAACAGGACGTCTGAGTTATGGAGCAGCTTTATTGCTGAAGTCTCACTACAATTTACAGAGAAACGTTATTCTGTTTCAATTTTGGATCCAGTGAAGTAAAGAAATCATCATCACTTTAAACAGTAGCTGTAAAATCAATGATTTATCTGGATCTATAGCTCTAGATCTATACCTCTATCTATTATGACATCTATAAAGAACGAGCAGGTAAACATCAGTCAACACTAAAACATGCAAGACAAACTTTCTCTGCAGACGTCATCAACAGAAATATGAACAAAGCTGGAGTTTGATCTGCGACAGAATCACAAACCCTGCAGTGACTGAACCTCCTGAACTTCAATCTGCTGCAACACTTTCAGCTTCTTATTGGAGAACATTCAGAAAATCAGACGATTCATCTGCACATCCACTGTAAAACAGAACCGATGCTGGAGCAAACAAAACAAACTCAGGACAAATGACCTGGATGTTCTAGATCTATAGCTCTAGATCTATAGCGATGGATCTATACCTCTGGATCTATAGCTCTAGATCTAGAGCTATAGATCTATACTGTTGAAATAATATTTTAAATTAGCACAATACTGCACAGGATAGCTTTGACACATATAAAATATAACATAGAAAGTTAAAGTACACTCTAGGTTCATATAAATTTAGATGAAACTAAAACAACGGCTCAATCTCTGAAACGCAGATAAATTCTTAAAAGGAGGATCAGACAGAAGAAACAGAAAACATAGGCCTAGACTCCTTGGATCTCTTGAGATAAGGAGCCTATATGCCAGGCAATTAACAAATTCCTTAGCATGGTTCAAAAGTTCACTAGGATCTTAAAACTTTTTATAAATAATTTTATCTATATTAGAATTAACTATATTTCTTTAAGCATGTTTTTAATTAGTTACTTATTAGATCCAAACTTATAGTCATTATTTAGCATTACATTGTTTGCAAGCTTGGTTAAAAATACAAACTACTTTCTTGTGGAAACATTTTGAGGCACAGATAGCGCTGCAGCTGCAATCATATATCAAACTGGACAGCGGCTGATACGAGAAGGGTTTGCCGTATATCTGCTTTTGGGGCTCTTTAGCAGGAGGTAATAAAATTAACATTGAGACAGCCCACACAAAGGAAAAGAACACACCTCCTAATGCATATATTTAAATGATGAGATTACACATTCTATAAATGATTTGGTTTACAGCAGAAGTCAGAATCTCTTTGTGCTGAGTGAGAGTTTCCCGGAGGATGCATCTTCTGTTAATCTGTTGTCTTTTTTACTCAGGTCTTTGTCTCTGTTCTGTAATGTCTTGGACTTTTGATATTCTAGGTGAGGTGCTTATTGTAAAGTTCTTCTTGGATTGATTTTCTCTGGATAAAACTCTGAATATCTGAAGTCTGACGTCGTATGATTGCTCTTTTCTCTCTGCACACTTACACAGACACAGGAATTCGGGACTAAGAATTAATTAACGAGCTAAGATCAAGTTCTTCATCTTTTTAATTCTTAACAATACCTCTAGATCTATAGGACTGGATCTGTAGCTCTAGATCTGTAGCTCTAGATCTATACCTATGGATCTATAGCTCTAGATCTATAGCGATGGATCTATAGCTCTAGATCTATACCTATGGATCTATAGCGCTGGATCTATAGCTCTAGATCTATAGGACTGGATCTATAGCTCTAGATCTATAGCTCTAGATCTATAGGACTGGATCTATAGCTCTAGATCTATACCTATGGATCTATACCTATGGATCTATAGCGATGGATCTATACCTCTGGATCTATAGCTCTAGATCTAGAGCTATAGATCTATAGGACTGGATCTGTAGCTCTAGATCTGTAGCTCCGGATCTATAGCTCTAGATCTATACCTATGGATCTATAGCTCTAGATCTATAGCGATGGATCTATAGCTCTAGATCTATAGGACTGGATCTATAGCTCTAGATCTATACCTATGGATCTATACCTATGGATCTATAGCTCTAGATCTATAGCGATGGATCTATACCTCTGGATCTATAGCTCTAGATCTAGAGCTATAGATCTATAGGACTGGATCTGTAGCTCTAGATCTGTAGCTCCGGATCTATAGCTCTAGATCTATACCTATGGATCTATAGCTCTAGATCTATAGCGATGGATCTATAGCTCTAGATCTATAGGACTGGATCTGTAGCTCTAGATCTGTAGCTCCGGATCTATAGCTCTAGATCTATACCTATGGATCTATAGCTCTAGATCTACAGCGATGGATCTATAGCTCTAGATCTATAGGACTGGATCTGTAGCTCTAGATCTGTAGCTCCGGATCTATAGCTCTAGATCTATAGCGATGGATCTATAGCGCTGGATCTGTAGCTCTAGATCTGTAGCTCTAGAACGTTGCAACAACTCCTTCCTGTTGTTGCTGCTGATCTGGTCCAAATAGAAACTCTTTGTGAAAACAGCTTTTGTCAAAGCACTGATAAAATCACAACTGCAGAACCATAGGCCAACCTCTGACCTCTGACCTCCCGTTCATCAACAAACTTACTGGAAAAGCCTCAACAGTTAAATAACTTCCTAACTAACCGCCCGCTTCGACTCCTTCCAGTCTGGTTTCCATGGTGACCACAGCACAGAGACTGGCCTAGTCAAAGCCTTCAATGACATCCATATAAATACGGACTGTGGGAGAACCACAGAGCTGGTTCTGTTGGACCTCAGATAGACTGGACTCTCCGGTCCAGAACTCAACTGGTTTCAATCTTACATAAAGAACTGGAAACCTCTCATCAAAGAGGTCAGAGGTCACATGTAGATTCCCCAAGGATCAACACAAGAACCCTCTGATTCTGTATCTCCCTGCTCAGGTCATAACAGGAAAGAACATCAGCCACCAGATCTACAGCTACAGATCTACAGCTAGAGATCTAGAGTTACTGATCTAGAGCTCAGGTTCTGGTTCTGGTTCTGCTCTGCATCAGAACCAGAACCAAACGAGGAGAAGCAGCTTTCAGCTTCTATGCACCACAGATCTGGAACAAACGTCCGGAAACTGTAAAACAGCCGAAACCCTGAGATCCTTAAAGTCCAGACTGAAAGCAGCTGGTTGGTTTTATTGGAAACATAATCAATAATCAATTTATTGATGACCTGATGGATTGTTGATTCTATGACTTTGTGATTGTGATGTAAAGCTCTGGAGACACCTTGCTGCTGAAATGTGCTATACAGATAACACTGATTGATTGATTGATTGATTGATTGATTGATTGATTGATTGATTGATTGATTGATTGATTGATTGATTGATTGAGACAGAAACAGTTTTATCACCACATCAGGTTTCATTAATCCAACATAAGAAACTGAAAATATTTCTAAAGTTGAGATCTATTGATCACTAATATTATTAATGGCTCATTAATAATATTCAGTGATGGAGTTTATCATTTCTCCCACTGAGGTTCACAGAAGCTCAGATGAAGCGAAGCTTGAAATGTTCTGGAGTTCTAACAAATGGTTCTGGTTCTAATGAGCAACGGAGGAAAGAAGAAAACAGACGGACAAAACATTCAGGTGGTTCTGACCGGGTCCGCCTCACTGGACCCGAGAGCCGACTGTAAGCTGCTCCAGGCGCCGATTGGAAGAAACAAGACAGAGGAAGCTAAAGCTTTAGCTTAGCAAGCTAACTAGCTCCAAACTAAATGGCAAGCTAAATATTTCATTTAAGCTAATTATTTACTTTGAATTATCTATTTAGTAAACAAGCTAAACATTTAGCATGCAGTTAAATAGTTAGCTTTCACCAACTAACTCTGCAGTCCCACCCACTGTGGATCTGTACGGAACGTCCAGGGAGCCTTTAGGGAACGTCCAGGGAACCTTTAGGGAACGTCTAGGGAACCTTTAGGGAACGTCCAGTGAACCTTTAGGGAACGTCCAGGGAACCTTTAGGGAACGTCTAGGGAACGTCCAGTGAACCTTTAGGGAACGTCCAGTGAACCTTTAGGGAACGTCCAGGGAGCCTTTAGGGAACGTCTAGGGAACCTTTAGGGAACGTCCAGGGAACCTTTAGGGAACGTCTAGGGAACCTTTAGGGAACGTCCAGGGAACCTTTAGGGAACGTCTAGGGAACCTTTAGGGAACGTCCAGTGAACCTTTAGGGAACGTCCAGGGAACCTTTAGGGAACGTCTAGGGAACCTTTAGGGAACGTCCAGGGAACCTTTAGGGAACGTCCAGTGAACCTTTAGGGAACGTCCAGGGAACCTTTAGGGAACGTCTAGGGAACCTTTAGGGAACGTCCAGGGAACCTTTAGGGAACGTCCAGTGAACCTTTAGGGAACGTCCAGGGAACCTTTAGGGAACGTCCAGGGAACCTTTAGGGAACGTCTAGGGAACCTTTAGGGAACGTCCAGGGAACCTTTAGGGAACGTCCAGTGAACCTTTAGGGAACGTCCAGGGAACCTTTAGGGAACGTCTAGGGAACCTTTAGGGAACGTCCAGGGAACCTTTAGGGAACGTCCAGTGAACCTTTAGGGAACGTCCAGGGAACCTTTAGGGAACGTCTAGGGAACCTTTAGGGAACGTCCAGGGAACCTTTAGGGAACGTCCAGTGAACCTTTAGGGAACGTCCAGGGAACCTTTAGGGAACGTCCAGGGAACCTTTAGGGAACGTCTAGGGAACCTTTAGGGAACGTCCAGGGAACCTTTAGGGAACGTCCAGTGAACCTTTAGGGAACGTCCAGGGAACCTTTAGGGAACGTCTAGGGAACGTCCAGTGAACCTTTAGGGAACGTCCAGTGAACCTTTAGGGAACGTCCAGGGAGCCTTTAGGGAACGTCTAGGGAATCTTTAGGGAACGTCCAGGGAACCTTTAGGGAACGTCTAGGGAACCTTTAGGGAACGTCCAGGGAACCTTTAGGGAACGTCTAGGGAACCTTTAGGGAACGTCCAGTGAACCTTTAGGGAACGTCCAGGGAACCTTTAGGGAACGTCTAGGGAACGTCCAGTGAACCTTTAGGGAACCTTTAGGGAACGTCCAGTGAACCTTTAGGGAACGTCCAGGGAGCCTTTAGGGAACGTCTAGGGAATCTTTAGGGAACGTCCAGGGAACCTTTAGGGAACGTCTAGGGAACCTTTAGGGAACGTCCAGGGAACCTTTAGGGAACGTCCAGTGAACCTTTAGGGAATGTCCAGTGAACCTTTAGGGAACGTCCAGGGAACCTTTAGGGAACGTCCAGTGAACCTTTAGGGAACGTCCAGTGAACCTTTAGGGAACGTCCAGGGAACCTTTAGGGAACGTCTAGGGAATGTCCAGTGAACCTTTAGGGAACGTCCAGTGAACCTTTAGGGAACGTCCAGGGAACCTTTAGGGAACGTCTAGGGAACGTACAGGGAACCTTTAGGGAACATCCAGGGAACGTCTAGGGAACGTCCAGGGAACCTTTAGGGAACGTCTAGGGAACGTCCAGGGAACCTTCAGGGAACGTCCGGGGAACCTTTAGGGAACGTCCAGTGAACCTTTAGGGAACATCCAGGGAACCTTTAGGGAACGTCCAGGGAACCTTTAGGGAACATCCAGGGAACCTTTAGGGAACGTCCAGGGAACCTCCAGGGAACCTATAGGGAACGTCTAGGGAATGTCCAGGGAACCTTTAGGGAACGTCCAGGGAACAGGCTCCGGTCTGTTCACCACATGCAGGAACTTTAACAGTTCCACTAAAACGAGCGCTCGTCTGTTGATGAAGATGATGAAACCTGGCGGTGTGGGCAGATCCCTAAGAAAGAGGAGAGACATGAGAAGAAGAAGAGCTGACGCAGCAGAAGAAGAGCGGACTCACCTCCTCAGGCGGACATCAGCAGACCTGCGGTCACTGAAGAACAGAAACATGTTCAGCATCAACAGTTCAAGCCTGAGCTCAGCGTTCTTCCTGCGGCGGCGGCTCACCGTCCGGGGCGTCGGGCGGCAGCAGGGCGTCCTGCCGGTTGGCCAGGACGAAGGCCAGCGTGGCCAGGATGGCATAGTCCAAGATCCCCAGCAGCGCCAGGATGTACGCCCAGTGGACAGAGCAGTTACCTGGAGAAAAGCTGCCCACCTGGGGAAGGGGCGGAGCTTAGACCAGGAGCCTAACACCAGCAGTGAACATCGTCAAGGTAACGAGGCTGCTGGTCAGCAGACACAGGAAGTTCTGCTGATGGTAATCCTGACGGATTATCATCAGAACCTTAATGGCAGCTTTGATAAAACGTTTTTACCGAGTCTCCGCACAGAACTCTCATCTCTGGACTTTCCCATGAGTCGGGAAACAGGAGACACGCCAGGCCGAGACAGAAGCCTGCAGACAGAGAGGAGACGTCAGCACACACAGCGCCACCACCAGGCTGGAGGGGAACTGCAGAAACATCGGCCATCTTTTGTTTCACCTCCAACCGTAAAACACCAAGATCACACCAAACAGAGTTTAGAAAAAGCTTTTACTCTGGTAGTCCACTTCCAGTTATCGGAAAGTGAATTTGGATATTAACAAATTAAAGTTAGTAGTTGTATAAAATGAAATACATAACTGGTTTCAAGATAAATGTTTATCTTTTTAAATGCTGTATTGCATTTTTTAACTCCAACGCTAAGCCAAAAGCTGTGTGGTTAATGATTATTACTACTTTAATCCTGAAATTTCAATCTTTGATATTTGTAAGTGAATGACAACACAATAAAATTATGACTTGAAAATTAATCCTCAATTTTTTCTCTTAACAGCTAAATAGACAAAGTTATCGTAACGGTAGCTTGACTATCTGAATTTCATCAGGTTCTAACAATCAGACCCATAATGAGGTTCTGATGCTCAGAAGAGACATTAGGGGCAGGGTTCCATCAAGTCCCATTTTGACAGGTCCCCTTTGACCTAATTCCCTCCCCCCCTCCCTCCCCCCCTCCCTCCCCCCCCCTCCCCCCTCCCTCCCCCCCTCCCTCCCCCCTCCCTCCCCCCCCTCCCTCCCCCCTCCTCCTCCTCCTCCTCCTATTGATTTTTATCTTTTTAAAGAGTAATACCAATACAACAACAGTTATTTAATCAAGAAAAATGTATATAATTATATACTATGTCTACTGAAGTTTTAAATAGATTTGGAATGGAGATGTTGCTTCTGATTCTGCGACTGGCGTACAACTGTGGTCTGAGCTGTGGGGGGTTGATCAAATATAGGGTACGGCCTGTGAAATCCATATGGTCTGTGTGTTAGGTTTTTTTTTCTGTTTTCTCTCTGCTGAATTCAGAAAATGTCGTATATCTGACTTTCTTTTTAAGAGTAATACAGCACCCAACAACAATTATTTAACCAAGTAAAAAAAAATGTATATAATTATGTAGTGAAGTTGAAATAGATTTGGAATGGAGATGTTGCTTCTGATTCTGTGTCTGTATTCAGCCAGGCATAGAACTGGAGGTCCGAGCTGCGATACGCAGAGGCTTGCAAGTAGGTGCGAACTTTGCAGGATGCAGACAGAATGACAAATTAGCCACCTCGGGGGAATTCAGAGCAAGACCCTCACGAACCCCGCTGGTTCATGAGGGGGGCAAACCAGAGCGACATCTGGTTTTTTTTTTTTTTTTTTTCTCAGTTTATCGCTCTTTGTCTAAAGAGTAATTACCTTCAGTTATCTGTGAGCGACACACGCTTTAAACACATTTGAAACTCATAGATTTTTCTGTAACACTCACTAGTGTGATACATTTCAGTAAATGTTTCTCATTTGTACATGTACTTCTTAAGAATATGTGACTGTTTGTAAGCAGGCCAACGGGAGGTTATTCAAATTAGACTTTTAACTTTCCTTGGTTAAAGAATTTGTCCAGAATTTTCCAAAATTTATCCTCGCATCATTGTAAATGCTACTTTGGTTCAATTTTTTTCCTGCTGCTGAATCAACACTGATCTTCCCAGAGCTTCATGCTTTCTCCAAAATAGTAAACGCCGGTATAAACACATTTGAAACTCATACATTTTTCTCTGTAACACTCGCTAGTGTGAAACATGTCAGTAAAAGTTTCTCATTTGTAAATTTATTTCTTAAGAATATGTGACACTTATTAAACAGACCTTACTGAGACTACTCATATTTAAGTTTTAGCTTTCCCTAGAGTTGAAAGTTTTTTTTTCTCTCTTTCTTTTTTATTTTTTTAACACTGCACAACTACGCTCCGACATGGTAAATTATTTTGTTACCTTTATCATTATCCACTACTTTTGTCTCTAACTTATATGCTGTATGTTTCTCAGCCCAAATGATGCTTTTTTCCTCCATCCATCATTTTACACACTTGAGTGTGTTCAGTAACAAAATATAGTTGTTGAATTTTCCATTACTGAAGCTTATAAATGATCAATGTAAACTTTCAGTCTGTATTCAGATACTGAATACAATTCCTATTATTTAGATTGGATGTTTTAATGCATGCACTTGGATTTCTATCGATTTATTGAATAATAGTCTGCGTAAATATTTATCAAACTGAATGGCCATTCAGGTTTCATATAATTTTTTTAGTTTGGTTTTTGTTGCACAACTTCAAATATATGCTGGCTATCAACCAACCATTCAATCAGTGATTTTTTTTCTTTTTTTTTAAATAACCCCTCTCACATCTTCTGACAACTAGCCCCAAGTTATAATAACATTAACTAAGTTTTGCTAATGGTGCACTTTACCTAAAAACAAATATTAAAAAAAATAAAACATACTCACTACACAGCCCCTTCTCCCAGAGCTGGTCACAACATGGTGATTGTTTTTTTTTTACCGTTAAAATTATCTACAGCTTTTGTTCCTTGCTTCTCATGATGCTATCTGTTCACTAATGTTCACTAATGTTCACCTCTTGTAAATGATAAGCTTATTAACGAACAATATGAACCATCAGCATGCGTTAAAGAAGATCATATCTGTCAGATGAAGTAAAAATATCATGATACTCAAAGCAATCAAAAATATATTGATCTGAAAGGTAATTTCTCCTTTTCAGGGAGCTTAGACTGAATGAAAGGAATTATTGAAATATACGACAAAATATTTAATTTGCAGAATTCCGATAATAGAACTTCAACTATGAATTGAAAGATTACATTGTATTTATTAACTGAAGATCACTTAATAAATCAGCTGTTAATTAGTCATCATACTATGTAAATGACTAACAAAATTTGAACAAACAAGAAACTTGACTACCTCAAGGGATTTCTCACATTGGAGAATCAACTGTCTGATTTTCTTTAGCCCATTAAATTTAACCTTACCAAAGCTCTGCAGTAAAGCAAACGGGTACTTAGTTTGAAGCCTGAATCAGATGCCTTCAGACCTTCTGCTGAACCTGGACTTTGGCCGCTCTCGATGTGAAATAAAACATCAGACTTTTTTTTAAAAAAAAAGTCCAAGTGAACATCACTTAATTATCATCAACTAGTTGTTTATACTCATCTTAAACCATTGGCAGGAATCTTTGGATAAAACACACAACAATAAAAAAAAAAGCTTTATCAGTTAATCTATTTAAATTGAGTCCACGCAACAACAAAAATAAAATAAAAAGTGAACTATCTGAAAGTAGTGAGGATGTTGTGTGCTAAATGTTTAACGTTTTAACATGCCCAGCAGACACCACACCATTTCTGCTCAAGCAAACCACAAGGTTTTGAACAGGACAACTATGTCAAAAAAAAAAAAAAATGAGACCGTGTATCTTTATTGTATGTAGCAAATATATTGCTGCTGGTGCTGCTGCTGCTGTAGGTAGAAAATAAAAGAAGTTTTGCAGAGAATAATATTCTGGATGAGTTTAAGAACAATCTTTGCCAAAATTACACAGTGTCACTACACTTGTATTTTATATGTTGCAGTAACTGAATCTTTTGAGGCAATTGGTTTGCATAAATTTAAGTAAATCCAACCTATTTTCCTGTTCTACATACTTAGCTAGCAATTTGCCAGTTAGCTTCCCAGTCTGAATTTCTGTGCAACGTCTTTATTCAGTCAACTCTTCTATCCTGTACTCCAATTCTATTCCTGAACTCTGATATTCTACATCCACTCTGTGAATGTTTTGCTTGCTTGCTTGTTGATCTTCAGCATGCTCTTCAGGCAGTATCGGGTTTCTCTTACTTTAAACCGCCCAACTTGCACCTGATTGGCACTTTAGCCTTTTGATTCCCTCCCAGTGAGGCGGTGCTTCACAAAGCAAATTGATTGTCAATCTGTTGCTCTCTGCCTGGTGGTTGTTTCAGAAGATGAGGAAACATGGTGACTGAGGTTTACAGCCAACTAGCCAGATTATGCAGCTTTTTTTACTAGATAGCGGTCCTAAAAACTACATACCTTTAAAATATGAACAAATACGTACAATTCCTTAATTATTTGATTCATGGGTGATACAAGTTTGGTCATTTGGAATGCAACTCAAGGACTGTGGTTTCTTAATGTAAGTATTTCTGCTACTGGACAAGAAACAAGGTTAAAAGATGACAGTTGTATTTACTGAGAGCAAGACTATGTCTAGTTATCAGGACAGACTGAGACCTGTAAAAAAAAACTGTTGGATCCATATGACACAATTATGATCTTAATATGACAGAGGAGGGAACCGGTTATCTGCTCCAACAATGTATTAGCCTTCAAGGAAATCATTTTGGATGCAAAGAGCAGAAATATCTCAACATCAGATTATTATTATTGTTTTTACTCTTATATCAGTGATTTAAAACATTTTTTAAATTTTTGATACCATGCGGTGCCATGCAGTACCATGTGGTCGACCGCAAAGTTGTGCGTGAATGTAAAAGTCAATTATTTTTGTCACCCAAAGAAAATTGTAATGTGTTTATTATGAGTAGGATTAACCGAGCTGAAGGGAAAACAAAGAAAAAAGGAGAAATAAATTCAGCGATACAGAATTGACTCAGCAAATATGAACCTAGGAAATTATTGAAACCTTCAAGAATTTTATGTGGCGTAAGATATTTAAGAAAAATAATCCTGATTCCATACTCATGAATTTCTTTATCTGGTTGTTATCTCTAAAATACGTTTTTATGTTGAACCCCAGACATCTCACCTCTTTCCCACAGTTTTTTTACACTTTGTTCCACTACTTATAGTCAATGTTTAAAAAAAAAAAAAAAAAAAAAAAACCCAGTACAGAGTTTTGAAGCGATGGAGGAAATTTACGTCAATATGGAACCTGTTGAACAAAGTGCATCTCATCCCACAGGTAAGAACAAAGTTACAGAGAAATATAGTATGTATTTAATTTAATTACATTTTGCTAAGGCTCAGGTTTCTGTT